TATATGTATATGTATATGTATATGTATATGTATATAAACTTATAACAGTGCTGAAAATGGATTTAGGATCAATCCTCAAACTGAGGGCCATCACAGCATTCCCATAATCACATGGTTCGGATTCAGGTGCTTGCAACTGGCATGCATTTATGGCAGTCAAAATATCCTGCAGTCACACAATCACCATTTGTGATGTTTACACCACCTTTCCACAAGCAAAGTCAACGGGGAATGTGGCATGAAGTTGCAGTCATGTTTCATGTGATGTTTCACTTAATGACTGTGTCTCTGAGTTGACAGAGTTTCCGGTTCCAACTGTGATGTTTAAGTGAGGACTGCCTGTTACGGGACTGCTTCTAAGCTTTTAAGATTTATTTATTTTTCTCCCACAATCGCTTGTTCTATTCCAGGTAAGTGGGCACACTTTGAAATAGGGCATCACTGTCATTTTTATTTTGTAAAGTAAGATGGGATAGGAGAGGCATCTTCGGAGGGAAGAGCCTAGAAAAACTCAAAGTGATGACCAGGACTGTATGATTGAAGCTTTGCCCTTTTCAATATGAAACAAAGGCTTTCAACTGCATGGCTGAAGCCACCAACTTAACAGTTTAAGCACACATCCTCCCTTCCTTCTTCCTCAGATGCCCTGCTGCAAAGCCCAGGAGAAATTATTAGAAATAGTAATAGCACTTACATTTATATACCACTTCACAGTGTTTTACAGTCCTAAGTGGTTTACAGAATCAGCAGATGCCCCCAACAATCTGGATCCTCATTTTACCGACCTCAGAAGGATGGAAGGCTGAGTCAACCTGGAGTTGGTGAGAATCGAACTGCCAAACTGCTGGAAGCCATCAGCCAGCAGAAGTAGCCTGCAGTCCTGCATTCTAACCACTGCGCCACCACAACTCCTTTTTTTTGTGGTATACTAGCTGACCATTTTATTAAAACACACTTTGGTGAGGCAAGCAACCTTAAGACACTCAAGAAAAGGTCTACAGCCACAATGGCACCATAGTGTCTTCTGGGAAAGCTGAGCCTGGCCCATTTAGGAATATTTAAATGCTCTGCCATAATCAGAAATGAGATATTTTTAGGGTGGGTGGAATTCAAAGACGTCATCTTTGTGAAAAACTATGATCACACTGCAATGTTGCTTTTCTTTTCCTTTTATTCTTTGTTGCCTTCCATGTTTTATTTTAATTAAGGAGAAATGGAACTGCTCTTCAGAGTTAATCAAGAGTTAAAACTTACAGTTACAATGAAGGCAACTAGCTTGCATTTCATGCAATGAACATGCATTTCATTACTTCTTCAGCCAAATATTAATTTTCCTTATTCTCAGCCATTGCGTTTGTGGTGCTGTGACTTGAATTCGAAGGCACTCTATGTCATTGTTTCTTCGCTTATCTTCCAACTCAAAACGGCCATTCTTAAATGTTCCTATTTTTTTGAAAATCAGGCATGTTTGCCCCTCTTCCGAATAAACTTTGAGTCTTCCTTCTTCAACATGACCATCATAGAGGATGTCCTTCGCATATTCAGCTGAACCTGTGTAAATCCGGATCTTCTGGGCAATAATTGGATTCCCAAAAACAATGGTGAAAAAGCTATCTGCTTCCACCTCCTTGCCCCAAAAGACACCTTTTCCAGGAGGGCACACATTTTCTGGCGGGTAATTTAAAACGATGGGAATATTTGTGAAACATGAAGCGCTAAGGAAATCTCCTGAGTCTCCCAAATCTTCTTCAAACTCAGGATCGTTGATTGCAGTTTCAAATTCGTGAAATGAAGAAACTCTCCCTATGTGTTGGAAAAGGGAAGGCCGGAAGTTTATGAGAAATTCTTGATTCTGTGACTTATGAAACAGTTCAAAGAGGTAGTTTACAGGCACGTTGCGGTAGAACATCAAGAGGAATCGGGCTAACTTAGTAAGATCAGCATTATGATAGAGCTTCCCTATGGAGCCCAGGGTGGAAAATGCTATTGTGGACCAGTGTCCATCTGTTTCATGTAAGTAACTTTGTATGATGGATACAAAATTGGACGCACAAACAATATCATCTTCTAACATCAAATAATATTGGGACAGATTGGTGCAGAAATTAACTAAATAAGCATAGTCCACATTTTGTTTGGCTGTGTAGGCAATGTTTTTGCGGTCGTCCTGCTGTCCTTCCTTCAAATTCCATAATGGAGGATAACTTGCTGTAGAGCTTTGGATAACAAGTAATCTTTTTTCATTGATATGTTTGCTAAACTTTGCTTTAATTTCTTCGGCAATTTCAACATTTAGCTCAGAATTATCATTGGCAAGGTATATCACTAGGACGATCTTCTTCAGTTCTTCTGGAGAGCAGTGACTGAAAATGGACTCAACTGTCACCAATAAAGGCTGTTCCTTTGTAGACAACAAAGGGTTGTCTTTGTAGATCGATGAGATTCCAATGCTCATGAACCCTGGGGGGAAAAAGAGATAAAACAAGCATCTATAGCAATGATAGAGCATATTCTTTGTCCCAAGCACTTCTTATAGTTTCTTTAGGAAGCTCTGTTAGGTAGGTTCTTTAGTACAAGAATAGATTCCCTTCTCAAATTGTGAATGAGATACAAGAATAGGCTATCATTCTATCTGTCAGTCTGTCTGTCTATCATCTATCTATCTATCTATCTATCTATCTATCTATCTATCTATCTATC